GGAAGTAAGTAATATGATGAGTTGGTGCAAGAATTACACAAACAAAGGCATCTCAAAATGCTCGTCTCCGAAGTAGAAGTGATCAACAAAGACATGGACATCAAGAGCAAGACCATAGAGGATTTAGCATGCAGTAACATTCATACAGGTTCTATCTTTCCTTTTTCCACCTTTTATTAAAACATTGAGGACAATGTTTGGTTTAAGTGTGGGGGAGGAACTCTACCGCTTTCATTTTATCGCTTTTTAGCTTGATTTACTGTTGTTTCTAATATGTCAAAGTCTGTGCATGTGCTGTTGAGTCTTTATGCGTGGTTTTCGCCTATTATTCAAACTTCCCGAAAATTTCAAAATTTCAAAATTCTAACAACCAAAAAAAACTTTTTGATTCATGACATGGTACTATGAAAGTATATAGGCTGTTTAGGCTATGTTAAAAAAAAACTTGGGAAAGTTTTGATAAAATTGATATCATCCTGACACCTTTAACCCCCTAAATGTGCAAAATCAACTTGAGTACCCATTACGTCGAGACCTTAAAGCTCCAGTTTTTTTAGTAATCCCTAAGTAGTTTATTTAAGCAGTCAGCACCATCCCAACCACACTAAGTAAGAATCCGATGCAAATAAGTGTATGATCTCTAGTTTAAAATAAGAAGAAAAATTATGAAGAAAAAGACTTGTTCCTTCTAAGTTAGGTGCTCCTCACCTGATCACTTAGCCCAACGGTACAAACCTTTTAAGTTCAATTGATGCTTAAGCATATTTACAAAGAAGAATGAAATATCAATGAGATCATAGTCACTAACAAGTTTACTTACCATGAATGTGTATGGATAACGGGTTTAATGTGATTGCATTAGAATGAAATGGGGTGAAAGAGAGCATGAGGTATAGGTTGAGTTATAATGGCATGACTCAGGTTAGTTTGCATAAGTAGGGAGTTTTTGAAATTGTGTCATTATGGTATCCTTGGTATTGATATTTAGTATTTGTCGATATAACATTGGCCTAGCAGCCACGTATGATTAGAGTCTCACTGTGTCTTTGTTTCAAATTATATTTATTTCTTTTTAACGTGTTGGCTGATTGCTTGAGGACAAGCAATGGTTTAAGTGTGGGGGTGTTTGATAACGCGAATTCATATCGTTTATTTGTCTTGATTTACATGCATTTATTTATGACTATTATTAATTTATCTTGATTTATGTTCTATTATATGATTAATTTATTTTGTTTTGCAGATTGGGGAGAATTTGGATTAAAGAAAGAAAAGAAGAAGAAATGGAAGGAAAAGAGAGAAGAAAAACAGAAAAAATGGATTTTGCTGATATGACGGTCGTCACAGGTCCATTACGACCGTCATGCGTATGACGACCGTCACGTTCCATTACGAGCGTTACGCAGACGAAATATCATTTAACGTTCAAATCAGTTTTTGCCACGAACACTATCTCTAAGATTTCTTCCTACACTTTCTCCACTCACTGCCCACTACTGGAAGTTACCCCCACTCCCTCCATAACTCACCCATGATCTCTGGAAGTTGAAGAATGAATTATCTCCTATAAATAGGCCTTAGATTCAGAGTTTAGGGGAGAGGCTTCGGGTATCGAAGTGCTGCCAAGATTTCTACTGAAGCTATTTCTCCCAGTTTTATTGTTTTCTTTTATTTCCTTTCCATTTTCCTTTAGTTCAGAATATTGTATTTTCTTCCTGTACCTTTTAATTCTCGCCAAAGTAGAATCCTGCCGACATTGTGGAGGACTACTCAAGGATTCGAGATCAGTATGATTTACAGGTTTTTATTAATTGAATTATTATTTTATTTCTGTCAGTATGCATGTTATACTATTCTGCTGCTATTGTTTATTTATGTTTGCATTAATTATCATGTCTAGCTAAATTAGTTTTATCGGTGTGTAACCGAATTAGTAGGATGGGATTCGATAATACCCAGTGCACCTTACCTTCTTACAAACTACCTTTCTGGTCGTAGTTTTTAATCGTAATTTCTAAATAAACCTTCGTCGCGACAGCGAGAAATTATTTACAGTAGTTTCGCCACGATAGTGGGAGATTAATTAAGGTATGAACCGACACGCGAAAGCTGATGCTAGGACCAGATAGTAGCAACTAGGCATTTGTTTTAAATACAGCGAAAGCGCTTTAAAAGAAATTAGAATTTATTTGTTTTCAAAGAGTAGTTTTAACCCCGAATGGGACTGCGAAAGCGTACATTCCGCCTTAGAATTATGACCCGAGTCAACAACCATCGTGAGGCAAAGGTCTTTAAACGAGTATTTTCTCCTGAAAAGTGTTTGCAAAGATTAAAAAAAACACCGGTGACCTGTCGAATCCCTAATAACTAAGTCCTTGCATACCGATATCCCTTTACCGCATTTCTTTAAACTAAAAATCTTTAGTTCCTTTAAATTTAGTTTCATCCGCATTTAACTTTCCAAAATCCATTAGCCTTAGCTTTACACCGTAGAAATAGATAACGGTAGGTTGACATTGATCTCTGTGGGTTCGAAAATCTTTTATATTACTTCGATATTTCCGTGCACTTGCGGACGCATCAACGTTATTTACAGAGAGGGGACATTCTGAGATGTCATATTTCCACCTTTCTATAGGCGAGATGACCATCACCATGGATGACGTCTCATGCCTCCTCCATCTTCCCATCTGGGGAAAATTATTGGGCCACAAAAGGCTCGGTCGAGAGGAAGCCATCGAGATGATGGTCGCCCATTTGGGGGCTGACCCAACTAGGACGACAAATGAGGTAGCTGACACCAGAGTTATTCATGCTAGATTTAATTTTTTGGAACAGCTTTATAAAAACCATTTGCAGTGGGTTGAGGATGCCGAAGGTGATTATCTACAGGTTAATTACCATCAGACTTGTGCATTGAGGTGTTATCTCTATTTCTTGGTTGGCACGTCCATTTTTGTGGACAAAAGTGCAATCTACGTCGGTGTGGTCTACCTTAAGTACTTCATCGACTTAACGACGATTCACGAGTACAATTGAGGGGCCACTTATTTGGTCTAACTGTACTCGAAGTTGGGTGAGGGTTATCTTTGAAAAAAAACAGATGACAAGGATTTTCACGCTGCTTATGGTAATTTACTATTACTAAGTTTTTTCATTTGTTACAATTGCTATTTGTTACAGGGATTGATTATCTCTTACATCCCTCGCATCACCAGATGGAAAGTTGTGCTTGCCTACAATGAGGATTGGTCACGTGCTGCCACATTAACCCCGTACAGGGGGAATAATATGTTCGAATGAAATAATTGAATACATAGTGTATTTCGGAGATGCATCTCCAAATACACCCAAATGAAGTGCGGGGATGCATCTCCGCACTATATTTTGTTCAAAATGAGGTGTATATCAGAAATACAAAGATTTGTGATTTTAGGCGCGTCCAGAGATGCATCTCTAAAAATATGAAAGACATTTTCAAATTTCTAAAAGTGTGAAACGCACCCCTAAGAGTGAAAAGAGGTGTGAGACGCACCTCTAATAGTGGAAAGAGTATTCCTCTTGATTAAAATGTATTGGAATTACTTGACAACCCTACGCTAATATTAGAATTTATCCTGTCACCCTCAAACTTTTATAATTCTAAAATTGTCCTTGAAAATATATGAAACAAGTAAAAAAAATTTACATTACTGGAAATTATATTATTTTTTTACTGAAAATTTCAAAAGTTTCAACAAAAAATAAAAAATTTTGCAAAAAAAATATGCAGAATACCAAAAATTTCAAAATTTGTAGTACTAAAAATTTTAAAATTTCTGATAGCGAAAATATCTCAAAGTTTTTGAAATTTTTTTTACACTACCAAAATTTTCAAAATTTTTGATATTGTATCGAAAATTTCAAAATTTTTGATACTGTATCAGAAATTTTAAAACTTTTAGTAATGTAAAAAAAAATCATTTTTTTCAAAAATTTTAAAATTTCCAATAAAGAAAATTAAATTTCTGATATTCATCATTTTTTTCCTTCTAAAATTTCAAAGTTTTCAATAAAAAATAAAAAATTCTAAATTTTCTGACATATATCGTGAAATTTCCGGTATATCACCATAAATTTCATAATTTCCAAATATTTATGAAGAAAAACAAGTAAATTTCGCCATAATTAAAAGATATCAGTATAAGTGAGGGGATGGTACGATAAATCCTCCCAATGTTATCATAACACCAACTCAAAAAATTCTCTAGCCTTTTCTTTCAATATGCTAAATTCTTCTTTTTAGCTGTTAAATTATTGTTGTCAAGTTATGCTTTGTTGGAGAATAGACAGATGAAAAGTAAGATAGATGAACAATCTCAAGACCACCACTCATCAACTTTCACTCCGCAAAGTTGAGAGCAGGTTAGGGAAGTGCATTTCCAACCCAGGACGAATGTTTTTCCCATGTTATTTACCCTCTCTTCTCCATTTCTCTGCTGCACCAATCAAGAGAACAATACTATTTCTCTCCTTTCTCTGTCTTGGGTATCTCTCTCGCTTCAAATTCATGCTTACCAAACAAACCATTAAGGTGGAAAAGTAACTCTAAATAGATGGAAAGAAAATGTAAATTCAACTTTTATCCTATAATTATAAATGAAATTACTCCTTCGTTACCATAAACAATAATACTTAAAAATAAATGCACATGTATACACAGACACAGTATGAACTCCTAAATATCAACATACATGGTTTAGCTTCTACATCTGCCAAACACCAGAACAAGGAACATATCATTTTACAGAAAAGTTAACATGGTGATTAATCAATCCTTGAAACATTACCAATCAAGCCCTCATTTCAGATGCAACCAGTGAACAGATTCCAAAACTTGGCAGCACTGTCTTCTCTCTGCCAGCAGTGTTATTATAGAGTATAGATACTGTGTTTAGCTGATCAATGGATGGATACAGCACAAGATAATAGACTAAACTTTTTGTGGTTTAAGCCACTAATCACTTGAAATGATCTTGCCGTATAACCGCTATTAAATTAAATGGTGATACATCTTCCTCCCTTTGTTTCCAGGATTCATTGTTTCCTTGTATATACCATGATACTCTTGGAGACAGTGGTGAATATAAATCTGTATTTGGAGAATAATTATCAGATTATCTGTTTATAACTTGAAATAATCTTTCTTTGATAAAGACCTACACAAACAAACAAGCATAACTTTAGTTTCATAATACATTAAGTGTCTGAGATATTACCTGTATTGACGGGAGGATCGGGCTCTCTTGTACTATGCAATAGAAATGTTCCAGATAAAATAGTCAGGAAACCACATAGCTCTGAAACAATACTACCTATACTTTGACCAGAATAGTCCTACACGTAGGATTAAAAATATAATTAAAGCATTAGTGTTTTCTTGATGATTTTTTTTTCTTTTCATATTGTGATTCTGTAAAACACCAACCTTAAACATGATTGCACTGGCTAATATTGTAAAAGCGGTGAACAATGCATAATAGATTGGAGAAACAACTGCTGTGTTAAAGTTATCCAATGCCTGCAACCGTGCAAGAGTTCATCATGACAGAAGCTATATTGAAGATCAAATAACAAAACAAGAAAACTGTGACAAATGAAAAATATGGAAACAAAATTCTAGTAAATCAATTCAGGAGATGGCTTCAGCTTATATAGGCTTCAAACAGTTATAATTTGATATGCAAATTAATTTAGAACGAATATGCAATGGATACATGGAGCGAAAAGAATGGCAAGGAAAACAAAATACGAGCATGATAACAGTTAATAACCAAAAGAGAAAATAAGTCATGAAAAATGATTCCCGGTTAACAATAAATTAAGTGATACTGACCATATTAAGGTAATTAAGTTGGACAATGATACAAGTGATAGCAACCATTGTAAAAATCCATGTCTGAAAATAGAAAACCTGGTTTGCACCTTCTAGTGTAAGTTTTATTGCAATACCTATCGCTTTTATGCTCATAACCTAAGAAAAGAAAGGAATTTTATCAGAAATAGAAATCAAATTATTGGGTTTCTTGGTATATAATCTAGAACATACAAGAATATTGAAACTAAGATACACTAGGTAGATTCACTTACAGTTAAAGACCCAACTATAGAGCAAATTCCAATATAAACCAAAATATTAGTTTGGCCATAGCGAGGAGCACAATATAAAACCAAGAACAATGTTATGGCAATTGCAGAGGCCGTGTACATGAGAAATGCTGAAGGACAAAAAACAAAACAATAATCACTTTAATCACATCATTCATATAGTCACAGACTAACAAAGATTTCAGGCACAATAGAAGGTTACCAGGTTGAATGGCCAATTCCCATATCTGTTGTACAGAACTAAGCGACTTCTCTTGCGGTGCATGGAGTACAATAATAGTAGACCCCAAAATGCATATAAGACACCCCAGCATCCCCATTTTTTGTAGCTTTTCCTTCAAGATAAAATGTGCCAAGACAGCACTAGCCAATTTCACATAAATTGTTAGCTCCGCAAGTAACTCAAATGGCTAATTTCGTAAAACGAAATAAACAAAGTTTCCACTAAATCTAATAAGTGTAAACAGACACCGGAAACACGGCATCGATAATGACACATTGACACCAGTAATAATTGGAAAAAATGAATTCACAGTCACATGGCAGTGTATATCTAACAAACCCTAGATGGAATAGAAATGAAAGTTTACCTAACAATAATAGTCAAAGCACCTAAAGGAGTGACAAGAACAGCCGGGGCGTAAATGTATGCTACGAAATTCGCTATCTCTCCAACAATCACTGTAAAAAATCTCCAAATCAATTCAAGAAAATAACTTAAAAGTTAAAACAACCAAAAAAATGGTGAAAATTGAAAATTGAGGTACATACTGGTAGCCATTCCGACCCACCAGAGAGGCTGAAGCAAATAACCATAGCCACCAACACCTGAAAATCACAATGCAAAGATAGAACCATGAAGATTTTCCGAAAATTGTTGTGGAAAGAAAAGGGAGAATGGTGGTTACTGGCACTAGGACCGTTGACTCTGGCGAGTTGAAGACCCTTTTTCTTGATGATGAAACTGGAACCGATGAAAGAACTGGAAACAACGGCCAACACGAACCCAGTCAAATTGCTGGAACTCATCTTCTCAGACAAAGATGGTGATGAAAGTGAGAGAAGAAGGTAGTTGAATTGACGAATAATTGAGAACTGAAGTCATGAGAGAGAGAGAGAGGGAAACCCTAGATTACGATTAGGATTTGAATTAGAAGTGTGTTCGGAATTTGGTGGCTCTGTTTGAAACGCAGAGGAACACATGGTGATTTCGAAACGACAATCACAATAAGATTTCTGTATTTTTATCTTTTTTTAATATTTTGGGTGTTAAACTTTGGCGCATTTGTCTGTGAATGAGTCCGTCTATAACTTTCCACGTGGTTTTGGTGTGCTAATAATTTATCGACAAATTAAAAGAGTTTTGACGTAGTACTGTTAGTTAAGTTGGTTGGGGGATAGCTGTGAATGTACTAAGATGTTGGCGAAGGTCTTACACATGAAAATGTATTTTTGAACCAGGTTTATTATATAATTTAAACACTAAAATTATATTTAAAACATCATCTATACTTTTATATATAAAAGGAAAATATAATTTTAGCGTAGTTTTTTTTTTAAATATATATTTTTTAGTTTTATTTTAAATCTTAACTTCTCCTTTTAATAAATGGTAGTTATGTGATGTTTTATTATAGCGGACAGACAGACACGTGAATGTCCGTCTGAACGCTAATATTTACATAAATTTAAATAATTCGAAATTTTTATTCTAATTTTTAAAATTGAATTAAAAATGAAAAGATGTATGATATTTTTTTAGAAGTCATTTTTATCAATAACATATATACATATTAAATTTATTATTAAAATTAACATGAAAATTTTCATTTTATAATAACTATTAGGGATGGTATTTTCATTTTATAATAACTATTAGGGATGGTTTAGTGGTCCGTTCGATATTTTTTTAGTTTTTTTTTGTTATATTAACAATTAAATTATTCAAATGCATTTATGAAAATTGAAATTCAATTATTTAATTTCACAAAAACAAATTTTAGATGTCGGACTATTTGACAATTTCAATTTCCCAAAACAAATTTTAGATGTTGGACTATTTGACAATCTTAATTTCGCATAATAAATTTTAGACCATTGAACTATTTGACAATATATGTTGTAGTGTTATATTTGTGAGAGTCACAAATAAGAGTGACTTCAAGATCCCCACCTAGAGTGATGTTGCCCTGCTGACATCCTTATAGAATATGGGGGTTCGCCCTTGGGACATATAACGTGTATAGTATTGTTATCTCCCGTTAATCATATGAAAGAGAGTTATACCACACTTTAGAAAATAGTTAGTCAATAGTCTCCCTTAGTCATGGGGGAATGGTTATTATCCCTAAGAGTTTCCTAAATCCTAGGCCCAAAAGGTTCCTATAACACCCGAGGCCAATGAGGGCGAAAAGTGGATGTAACACTCAAGGCCGAAGAGGGTGGAGAGTGGTCTCCAAATTCACATCGGAATGAGAGGGATCCTAAGACTGTGCAGGGATGAGACCGCATGGTTGAAGGAAGTTAGGGTTTGCGTTGTTGAAGTGATCATGAAAGTTTTTTGTTTTTGTCACTATATGTAAGTTTAGGGGAAGATTGATGCATGATTTTAATTAGAGGGTGTGTCGAAAGTTGGGAAACAAGTGTGAGTTCTAACTTCTAAGTCTCACATTGCTTAGAAAAATGGAGGTTGAGCAGTTTATAAGTAAGAGGACTCATACACCTATCACCTTAAAGTTTTAGGTGAATATATGGTGTCTCACTCACTTGTTTGGGTGAATGTTTGATCTTTAGGTGAGTGTTTAAGCCAATGTGAATGTTTCTCCCTCATGATGACCCATTAGTGGTATCAGATCCTGGTTCAAGTAAGGAACCGACTCCTTGTGTCGAAAGTCTTCTTGGGATGGTGGTTAGGCGACATGTTCCGTTGAAATGCCCACGACGAGATAAATGTGTCTCTCAATGGTGGTACAAGCATATGGGTGGGAGAGCTTTAGCTTGAGGGGGATCATAATGGATAGACTCACACTTGAGAGAGATTGTTGGAAAACAAGTGTGAGTTCTAACTTTTAAGTCCCACATTGCATATAAAAGTGGAGGTTGAGCACTTTATAAGTAGGATGACCCATATGTAACGCCCATTTTAATTATCTAGTTTTTCTATGTTATTTTTATTTGTGGTGCCTTTTGTGGGAGTGTGTTCGAGTGCGGGGTGAGTAGCCCTTAAGTTGGAGTTTAATTGATAACTTGGGACATTAAGAATAATAATATATTTATTAATGATAATGATAATTTAATGAATAATAGTAATATTATTAATATTGTTAATATTATTATTATTATTATTATTATTATTATTATTATTATTATTATTATTATTATTATTATTATTATTATTATTATTATTATTATTATTATTATTATTATTATTATTATTATTATTATTATTATTATTATTAAGTGAGGTAAGAAAATAGGAAATAGGGGTATTTGGAATTAGAAGAAAGAAGAACACGATCATTGTGGAAAGAACAAGAAGAAGAACAAGTCAAGTGGAAGAGGGTTTTGCATAGAAGGATCAAGGAGGAAGAGAAAAGCTTGGATTTCTGAATCTTCTACAACTTGATCGAGTTATCAAGGTAGGGGGGGGGGGGAGAATCGGGTCGAAAATTGGTATTGCATGAATTCTAGGTAGAGGGATTTTCCCCAATCCCATGGTAGATTGTTGATCATGATTGTGTATGTGTTGAATTTCTAGATTTGTTGATGGTAAGATAGGTTTGTTGCATGTGATTGTTGGAATGATTTTGGGGTTTTCGGTAGTTTATCATTTTAAGCCGGAAACGAGTTAATCGGTAGAGCTGAGGTGTTATCAGACGGAATATAGAATATATTATGTAGCTAAGTCGCATTGGTGCTGTGGGGACTGGTTTGAGTAAAATCGAGAGATTTCGGAGAGTGTTGCCGATTCTGAACTATGAGGTTTTTGTGAAATCGCAGACTTTCGCCAGCACTTTCGCTAGGCGAGCGAATAGCGAGCATTCGCTGATGCTTTGCTAGGCGAACTAGGTAGCGAGTGCTTCCAGTAGCCACTGTCTGCCTTCGCTAGGGAGTTCGCTGGGCGAGCAAGTAGCGAGCATTCGCTGATGTTTCGCTAGGCGAGTGAGCCAGCATGCATGACAGTAGTTGTGTTTTTGGTGTTGTTCTGTTCTGTTCTCTGGTGTTATTGGACCCTTGTTGGTCATGACTGAATATGAGATTGATAGTGAATTGTGGAGAGTGTATGTGTGGTGGGGAACATGATTTCCTTGATATTCGTTTAATTAGAATAATTATGGGTGTATGTTATTATACATGAATGTGGTGATGTGTGGAATATGTATATATATATATATATATATATATATATATATATATATATATATATATATATATATATATATATATATATATATATATATATATATATATATATATATATATATATATATATATATATATATATATATATATATATATATATATATATATATATATATATATATATATATATATATATATATATATATATATATATGATGTATGATGAAATATGATCAGTAGGATCGTGTGCACTTAGTGTGTTTGATGTTGTGTGTTGTGCATTGGGGTTATGCATAGCATGTGGTAATGAGGTGCTCCTTTGTGGAGGGTGATGGCCCAGTGCCCATCAGTGATTGTGAGGGATAAATTATGTCTCAGGGGAGCGTAAGTAAAATATCCTGTTTATGATGTGCTCCTGTGTGGAGGGTGATGGCCCAGTGCCCATCGGAGAACTGGGTAGTGAGTGCTTCCAGTAGCCACTGTTTGCCTTTGCTAGGGAGTTCGCTGGGCGAGCGAGTAGCGAGCATTCGCTGGGCGAGTGAGCCAGCGAGCATGACAGTAGTTGTGTTTTTGGTGTTGTTTTGTTCTGTTCTCTGGTGTTATTGGACCCTTCTTGGTCATGACTGAATATGAGATTGATAGTGAACTGCGGAGAGTGTATGTGTGGTGGGGAACATGATTTCCTTTATATTCGTTTAATTAGAATAACTATGGGTGTATGTTATTATACATGAATGTGGTGTTGTGTGGAATATGTATATATGTGTGTGTGTGTGTATCTATATATATATATATATATATATATATATATATATATATATATATATATATATATATATATATATATATATATATATATATATATATATATATATATATATATATATATATATATATATATATATATATATATATATATATATATATATATATATATATATATATATATATATGACGTGTGATGAAATATGATCAGTAGGATCGTTTGCACTTAGTGTATTTGATGTTGTGTGTTGTGCATTGGGGTTATGCATAACATGTGGTGATGAGGTGCTCCTTTATGGAGGGTGATGGCCCAGTGCCCATTAGTAATTGTGAGAGATAGATTATGTCTCAGGGGAGCGTAAGTAATCTATCCTGTTTATGATGTGCTCCTGTGTGGAGGGTGATGGCCCAGTGCCCATCGGTGATGATGAGGTGCTCCTTCGGGGGGGTGATGGCCCGATGTCCATCGTTGTTGCTGAGCCGGTACCACATATCATGGTGTTGAGTTGCATATGTTTGCATTGTTATGTGTGTTGTGTCGGTGTTGGACTGTAGGTCCGGGGTGATGTATGTTGAATGATGTTGTTTATTTACTGCCTTTTATTCATGTACATTATTACCGTTATATTTTGATCGTGATTTCTCACCCCTTTGTTGTTGATGTGGTCTGTGCTTCTTCGGAAGTGCAGATAATCCAGGTGTGTAGCTAGCTTGGATAGTGGCGAGTCGAGTCGTAGGGATGCTCTGATACGTAACACGGGGATTTTGGGAGTTATTTATTTATCTGATGATTTTGTTTTGACTCCATGTCGTATCATGTTTTCACGAATCCTTTTGGTGGATATATTTTGTATATTTTTGGGCGGATGGCCGAATATTGATGTATGTGATGTTTATATGTA